TCCCTGAACCAGCGTGTTCAAATCGGCCAGCGTGCCACTTTTACCAGTTGCGGCCAGAGTGCCAATTGTCAAGTCGACCGACACCCTTTTGAAACACAAACTCAAGTCAAACTTATTTGCTGGCAAGCGTGACTCTTTTCAGTGTTTTGCTACAAGACCAGGACTGTTTTTTTGAGGTTAAAGCTTGGCTTTAGTAGAACACATTTCTCTAAACGAAAAGAGCGCGTCAATATTCAAGCCGTTAATTGGTAATTACCATAATTAGTTTTGTTTGGATAATATTAAAACTCACTCTATTAATAAATTGTGCTCCAACTCATTTTGTAGCGTTTTCTATGATGTTTTTCTCAAAAAGAACGTGTAATTTTATTATTGCCTTGATGCAAAACATCACGTCCTATAAAAGTAATTAAGGTGAGTCAAAGCTGAATTCGATCAAATGTACTTAACAAAATGTCTGTGTTTCGTATCCAAGATATGAGAGGAAATATTTATTTAGAAGATTTGCTCATGCGTCAAATTTCAACCCCCGTGTTATCACTAACAAGGCAGCACATATAGTAAATGGAAACATATTGGAGGGTGATGGTGATAAAGAACAGGTAACTACAAAATAGTGGACATTCCTTGCATATTAGGGATTCCCAGGGTACATACGAGGAACACACACATTTCATTAATTATTGCTTGAGCCATGCAAGGAAGTTTTCATGTGCAGTAGATTGCTTTCTTGACTTTGCTTTGCCATTTTTCAACAAGACATTTATATCTTCAATCAAAGTGAGTTTTTTGAAATTTTAAATACGGCGGGTTGGCCCCAGTTTCACTGAAAACACGTCCATAATGAGGAAATCCTTTACAAATACTTTCCAATATCAAAAAACAGTATCAAGGAAAGCTTTTGAATTATTGTTATAATTCCGTTCAGTATTTCAGATATTTTTGATAAGCATTAAATGTAGATGATTTTATGCCAGTGTGAAGCCAACAAACTCTAAAATTCACAGCGCTTTTCCTTTCGATTGGAAGCTCTACACATCATGACTCAATTTTCAGCTAAATTACTTTGAATGGAGCCTTTTATCAGCTTTTTGAAGAAAACATTTATTTGCTATATTTTTTAATTTCTACGACAAAAACGAAGACATCACTCCAAAATGCATCTGAGATAGAGAGCACCGTAAGAAAATACAAATATTTTCCTAGCCCTGAAATTGAACTTTTCAAATTTGCTCACCTCAAAACTTCATCAATCTACATAATTTATAACTTGTCTATAGTTCATTTCAAACTGAAAAGGTTGTGTCTATATCTGCTGCTTTAAAAGCGGACGATTGACGTCGGTTCATCAATATTGTTAATGGAGACATGAGGAGCCAATAATAACGATTAACGATTTTTAAACATGTAATTTTTGCAGCATCATGGCCATTATTTAATTGATCTGTTAAGATTTTATACTCATATATATATGACAAATTCAATTTCGAAGTTGGTCATTTAAAATTTTTCTTCCCTAGGGTAGGCTGAGAAGATTTCTGCAGTTTACGATTTTACTTCATTTATCCAGGTAGGTAGGGTACATTGATATATTTCTTTCTTGGCCATATTTTTAAAGAGTGAGACTATGGCTTGGTACGTAATGTACCGGGATTTCTTTTCCCTATATATATGCGTACACTTGAGACTAAACTTTGTGTCCGATTTCTTTTCTCCAATTAGGTTCCTTTTTCAGACGTCGTACAATATCAGTGAAAATTCCCAACAATAAAGATCTACGTGGCTGTTCTCTTGATGTGCATCATCTGCTTTCAGGCCCCACAAGTGAGTTAAGATTGGAAAAAAGGCACTATATAAATTCATGTTACGATTCGTAAGGAACAAATCAATTTTGAGATGCTAGTATCCGATTGTTTCAGTCTAGTTATTAATCGCGACTAGTGGTTGAGGTTTAAAGAGTCTTAAACAGATTTAAATAGTTTTCAATTCTTAAAAACATGTTGATTATACTTTTTTATTTCCCCGCAGGTTCTAGGAGCTAGAATCAAGAAGGTATGAAGCAACCATATTTACAGAGTTCATTACTTCTTTGATATCAATGAAATGGAGGAGAATAAAAGTTGTAGATACGTCGGAATCTCTATTTACACTAACAGAAATGTTTTCGAGCTTCTCTACATTTTAACGCAATTTTTTAATTCAGTTTTCGATTAAATGATTTCCACCTTATCTCTGATTCAGTTGGGAATTTAAGTGTTCAGAGAAAGGGAAAAATTCTTTAACTGTTGTTTGACTATTTGTTTGTTTGTTTTTCCTGCTTGTTTTTAGGTAAACATTGCAGCCTAGGTTTACCTGATACATGTTTTGAACCCGCCGATCCTTGTAAAACAGCACACTGCCCAGCTGGATATAAATTTATTCCATGTTTAGACTGTGCTAGCTTTGTTTGTAAATATTTATAGCTTCATGGCTATAAATGAGAAAACGATATAACATAACCGCCAATTCAATTATGTGCCGGACAGCTAATGATGTTGTTCAATAAAAGCGAATAAAATTGAAATGAACTTTGATAGTATTGATCAGTTTAATCTTCTCTCCGACCTTTGCCACTTCCCTTCCAGAAGTTAAGTGAAATCCATTGCGGAAGTAATTGTGAATGTACTACGTAAAAATAAGAGTGTGTTTTTCTTAAGCACCTGGCTAGCATGGCGCCAGAGGTAAGCATAGCAATTCAATGATCCTCCCTTGTGACAAAGGGGATGCTTCTCTCGAGAAAGGTTGACAGTTCATCCAAACGAGTCAAAAATTATTTTCGTCCAAAGAAGGCCAAAGGTTTGATGGTAGAGAGAAGGCGAACCGGCCAACTTTAAATCGCCCTCACGATTTCGCAATTTCTTAGTGCAGAATTCTGCATAGGTGCTTCCGAGCATATTTTGGTAGTTATTCTCGATTCGGTACTTCGCTGTATTAGATTTCCACTGAAAATCGTTTCTTTTTTCTTAATCACATCAGGGACAGCGTGTGACTGTGTTGCTTCATGGTCGTTACGTTTCACTTTCATTAAAAGTTGCACTGATATAAAGCAAATGAAATTTGATGGTAACCTGTCATTATCAAAATCGTAACCCCTTGTTTAATATCAATGTGGGTATTGCCAAATAATATAAGTAATACAATATCATTTCTGAAGTATGGCTGATATTGACCATAAGAAAATTTGTGACGACAAGAAAGTTAAAAGAAGGTAAAGCTAATATAAAGAGAAAATATAGACCTCTTCGGTGCGCTAATGGATACATACAGGAGGTGATAATAATGATATCATTCTTTTCCTTGTTAGAGTTCATATGTCAATTTTAAAGCAAACGCTTTTAGCACTTGTAGCCTTAATATATATATTCAATATATATACCTTGCAATAAAGTATCACCGCTGACCCAACTTGATAGCCTGCATAATAACCGTATTAATTTGTAAAAAAAGATCTATCAGTATAATTTCGCATTGTCCTAGATATATGTGAATGAAAAAGGACGTAAATATTTCCGCATACCCTAAATATCTTTGTACTTGAATGAATATATATGTGATTAGCTCCAAACTGATACGAAACAATGCCATGCATATATTCATCATAGCCTTAAATATTTAATTTACAGTAAATATTTGTTGTTATATAATATTGTCCTATTTATTATTGTTATTTATAATAAAGCTCGGATATAACACGTACTGTCATTGGTTGAAAGAGCGTGCTCTATGAGAGTATAGAGCATAGAACTGAGCTAAAGCTGTCACGCCATCTGCCAGATCGTACTATGTCCGACCTTTTCTTTCGTTAATTGAAAGTGAAATTTCGGAACAAGCGAGCAAAGGTTTGCAAAAATGCCAGGCGCAGTAATTTACGTTACTGTAACGTAAGCAGAGACAAAAATCCTCAAAGATAACACAAGATAGACAGTCCGAGTTTTTTTAACGGTTTTCACGCTCAGTTAGATTGCGAGTTTAGGTACGGTAATAAAAATCAAACACAGCTAACACTTGTATAATAATATAAAGTTTCGATTTCAATCAGAAAAAAACAGGAATGATAAAAAATATAACCTGGCATAACTGTTAAAATTCATACTAATCATGACGGTGTCAGAGCGACTTAAGGTCTATCGCGGCTAGCTAACCATGGCGATCTTCGGTCATCGCAATGGAGCAAGCCTCAGGAACTAAATCGACTACCCTTCGAGTGAAAAAATAAGAGCTTGCCCTGATTACCTTTCCGATGCGTTGAGTGGAAGGCCAGATCGGTCACTGCAACCGAGTTTTACGGCGCTGTCATTCCGAGCGATCTTCATTTCTTAGTGAATTCGGCTGTTGTTCCTTCATAATTCACTCGCCTTGAACAGTTTGTTTTCTACTTTTCATGTGAAATAACTTGCGTATTTTTGTGAGCCACGATTGGGCCGAATTTCACTGAACATTTCACTTTCAGATCCTGTATTACAAACTAAAAAACTTCAGGCAAAAGTGTTAAATTCGACATGCCGAGCTATTTTAGTTTGTAAACTATTGCAGAATATGAACTTTGATGGTTTTTGAACTTTGATGGTTTGACATTTTTGACAGCTTTAGTCTTGTACAGCCAATCAGATTATTTGAACCATTCTAACAGGGATTCTGATTGGCTTATTGTAGCGTGCTTTATGAGAGTATAGAGCATGCTTACGACACTGTTGTTCGCTTTGGAAATAAGATTTGTTTTGAAAATTGAAAGTAATTCTTGGGGAATTTAACGGATTATTTATTATAAAACAAATAGAGAAGCCTTGACTGTGCTCTGTTCTGTTGAAAAGCACTTAGGAAGCGGCTAGAGCACTCAAGAAGTGGGGAGAAACAGAACAGAGCACAGTCAAGGCTTCTCTATTTGTTAAATAGCACCCCATACATGCTTGTAACTTAAAATAGTAGCGTGCATTAATAAAGTTGTTTGATGAAAATGAGATCACATGACTGAAAACGATCTATTAATAGAGCTTTACGGTACAGTCCGTGTTTAGAAACAGAAAGTCTACGCTTACTACTAGTTGCTGTTATCACTTTCCAGTCTAAGTGAAAGTCACTGTCGGCTCGAGAGAAGGCATTCGTCATCTTTTCTTTAACACAAATTTCTTTGAAAGCGAAGCAAAATTTCTAGATCTTTGTGGTCAGCTTCATACAATTTGTGCCGAGAACAGATATGCCGAAGTCATCCTCGAAAGTGTTTGGGACACTTATTTTGACGATCTCTCTCATTTCACTGCAAGGTACGTTCTGGTACTTCAGACCACAGCACACTGTTCGAGGGACTTCTTCGCATCTTCAGCAGGGTATTGGAAACATTCGAAAGCTTTTGGAAGCAGATTCAGATGAAAATCAACAACAGGTTAGCTGTAGTAGAGCTGCGTTAACAGTAAAGCTTACATTCGCGCAATTTCAGTAGACCTCAAAATATTCTTGTATACAGGAAGATATGAGGGATGAAACGTAGAACGAATTACGGTAACCAAGTGTTATTCACACTTAGCCCTACTAAATGAATATGCTTAGTAATGCTTAGCTTATATTAAATTTAATCAATATTTCCATTTCGAAAATACTACATCACGGAGTATTTCCTTTTTCCTTTATTGTCTTATGTTATTAATCTGTGGGGTCAATTGCCAAATATAGAAGTTCGATCCCGCCTTTTTACGTTAACCTTGCACTGGGTGACTCACTGAGTAACACGATCACCTGGTACATAATTTTGAACTGACAAGTCGTCACGAGATTAATGGAACAACAGATTTCCTGTATTTCAAAAATCCTGAATGCTCATGAATATGTATCGATATAATGCAGCATAAGGATCTCGTACCAGATAAAATATGAAATCCCTCAACATAACACGCTCAAAATCTATTTTGGAGTTGAGCTAATTGGCTGAGACCACTCTCATCAGTAACAGGAGGATGAGTCATGCAATTATCTGCTCATTAGTTTTCATATTGCATTGAAGTTTTGCAGAGGAGGATATGAGCAAACAGGTTGGATGATCAGAAGTTAATTAAAGGAAGATGACATCATCTCGTACCAGCATCAGGCAAAGAAAAAATTTTGTCCCGCATGAGGAATTGAAATGCAGTGGTTGTCTGGTAACCACTGAGTTAGAAAAATTCTAGTGACTATCGGCCAAACTCACCTAGGATTTCTTTATACCTCAGTGCTTTGCACCTCAGTGGTAGACCATTTGATCACAAAAGCAGAAGCTTCAATCTTTACTGGGGCTAGGCTTTTGGTTTCTACTTTATCCCTGATACTAGTAGAGCAAACAAGAATATTTTGTTTATTTATTTATTTATTTATTTATTGTAACAATTTTATTTAAATAATAACATATAACATATTATTATTAAAAAAGGGTTATAGAAGGGAGGAACTCAATCTTCATCGTAAATCATACCCCAGAACATCTATCTCTATTCAACATTACAGAGCTCAAAATGACCGTATTGATTCTTTATAAATGGTTATGTCTTGCTATGGTGCTGTAGCTGACTTAAAACTCTGGTTTAAAACATGGTTTTGCAAAAGCTCTCTATTACCAACTTCCTGACTATTTTTATTGGTTCCTCCTTTACTGACAGAATTGTTCTTCTGTGCATGGCATAAATATTTCATACCGCTGCCAGTTTGTCAAGTCACGTCCAAGTCATAATGAAACATCCCTGATACCCTACATGCAGATTGTTTGCCGTTGGTTTTCAAGTGAAGTTCGTCCTCTTGCCTACTGTTTACTTGTGAGTACTTTTACTTTTGCAGCACTATTGTAAATTATTAGAACATTATCAGGGCATTGGCTAGCTCTCAGGGAAAATTTATTCTCAAGGCTGTAACTGGTTAGCATGTGCTATTATCTAAAATAATTTTTAAAGACAAAATAATTATTTAGCGAATATTGCAATTTTTATAATTTCTTTTTACTAGGGTATATGGCTGGTTTTTCTATTCATCACCCTTGGACTGACAGCAGATGACTAGTGAGTTGGAAAACTACTCTCTTTAGGTTGTGTTATGTTGACCATTTCACTTCCAGCAGTCAGACCAAGACAAAATTCCCCCTAAGATATCAATACCAAGCAGACATTTAAGAGCCCATGACTGTAAATATCGAGAATCGTTGGCCAGTTATTTTAAAGTTTGAAAAATCAAATGTGTCCGAGGAAATGGGGAAAAACGAAAATTCGGGTTTTTACCTTATTAATTATGCAAAAAATACAGTAAAATTGACCAACTTTAGTGTGCGAGTACTGAAGGAGGATGTTTGGTAAGAAATCGGGGGTGTTTTTACTTCAAAGTATAATTCATTTGATTTTTATTTGTGGCAGTTTAAGGAGCTTTGGTTTAATTTTAAAATTCACATGATTTTTTAACAAAGTACTGTCAAACGCTTGTTGCAAAAAGCGAAAAATTGAGCAACTTCAAGCCTTCAAAACGCGTCTTGGCATGTGAGAGATCATATCAAAGTACAAGCTGGCACAAAGTTTGATCCTTATATGAAAATAATATGAAATAAAAAATCTGGGTAATTCAGAAAAGTGCCGGCAAAATAAAAGAGTTTGGGACGCACTGTGGCCAGAGGTTTCGAATTTGCATGCTGCAATTCGTGCAATTTTATTGCATTTTTTGCATAATTAATAAGGTAAAAACCCAAATTTTCGCTTTTCCCCATTTTCTCGGAAACATTTGATTTTTCAAACTTCGGAATATTTGTTTTGAATATATCTCCCTAAAAGGGTTTTCCAGCCAAATTATCAGAATTTTCGATTTTTTTTAGCCTGGCCAACGATTCTCGATATTTACAGTCATGGGCTCTTAAGTAATGAGAATAAAGAAAAATATCAATTCTGGGATTACCATAAATTTTTCACTTAATTCTCAGAACTTCAATTATAAGCAATTACAGACAGTAAGGAGAGAATTACTAAGCGGATCTTGGGAGTGAAAGGGTAAATTGTAGTGAAACCACAGTGGTCTTGAACTTGGTTGTAAGTTTGACATGGTGGTTGGGTTTCTGATCTTGATGGCTTTCTGTGAAGAAATACATTAAAATTTGTTTTACAATATGCTTTTCACATTCATATCTTTGTAATTATATTCATATCCTTGTCTGATGTTTAGTTGGAAGATGTGTTCAGTCAGGAGATATCCTCCAATGATTTTTATAGATAAACTTTTTGTCTTTGAATAAACTTAATTTTGGGAAATTCATTGTACATGGACTGTTTCCCTTGCAGCCTCTGTCCATCTTTAACAGTGATTTCTAGAACTTTAGGAATCAACCAGAACATTGCAGTATCCTTTACTCAACCTTCATCTTTATCTCTCTCAAAATCAATCAGGCTCAAGCATGTAAGCCTGCATATACTACAGTATTAGTCAGAGTAGTATAAATGTAATGGTTGGATTTCTAATTGCTAGTTAAGGTTTGAAAAGCTGGTAGATTTAAAATGGCTAAAAACAGTTCAAGTTCTCAAAGTGTTTCTCAATTTTGTTCTCAATAAGTTTGCCTGATAGTCACTCTGGGCCTCTCTCTCTCTTCAACTCTCAAATGATAGAAATCTCAAACTCATTATCTAAAGTGAAGTAGCTCTATGGAGGCTTTTTCTATCTTTTTTGGGGTTAAAGCTAGTAAACAGCTTCTTTTAAACTACTCTTTACATGCCCAAAGGACTGGGAGAAGCCCAACCACTGGAGTTCACAAGAGTTTCCTTAACAAAGTTACACACTCTAGGGAGTTACATTCCTTGCTTTTGGCAATGGTGCTCCTGACATCTTTAGTTCTCTGGCAGGTTTCACTCAGAACAGAGATCAAAGTGGAATGCAGCTTGTGATACAAGCCCTCTTTGGTAAGCTGTACAAAATCTTTAGCACAAATCCAACCCAAGGATGACCCTTGATTGAATAACCTTAGGGTATAATTTGCATCTAATTGATATGTGCTTCTTGTCTTGTAATTATGAAACATCTTATGAAAGTATGTGTTGAAGTTTAAATGGGTCTCTGGTCAAATTGATTTTTATCTAATAGACAGTTTTATACCTTTGTCTGCACTATCAATGTCTTTACACAAGGAAAAAGTAAATTGAACAAGTGTTAAATAATATTAAAATCTGATTTAATTTTAAACTGCAGCATATGCAGCGTACTATCCATTGTTTTGATCAACACCTTGAAAGGATACAAGAATCTACAGCTGTATTTTAAAGTCATGTAATGTGCATACTTATGGCGCAGGTTTAATCCAAATACTGTTTTATCTAATCACGTATATTCAGTTGATACTGACTGTCACAAAAAAGGAAAAAAAATCTAGTCCCTTGGTGATAGTTAAAAACGTTTAATATTTGAACAATATGAGTGAAGTCATGAGTAAAGTGAAAGGTATTCTTTTTTAAACTGAAAGATGAGAGTTTTCATTTGAAGCTCAATCAAATGTAAGTAAATCAGATCTAAAAGGAGACATTGAATTACATATTTGTAACTTTTTCTATTGATCTTATTTGTTCAGGTGCTGGTATTTTTGTAACAAC